ATGAAATTAAAAGAATGCCTCCTAAATCCCTCACCACTCTGGCTAGATGGTGCTTGTATGGCCCAGGCTGGATCCAAGCAAGGGTTTACAACAGTGACTAGTGCAACATCTGAGTTTACAGCGTCTGAAGAAGCCGGGTGCCCTGAGAAGGATCCGTAAGCCACGGGCATCATGGGCAGCAGGCAGCTGCCTGAAGCTGGGCAGCAGCACGTATATCGTATAGGACATGCCTTAAATCCTGCACTTCTCTGGGCTACGTGTGACCAATACACAAGAGGAGGAGGCACCTTCTTATTTTTCCAGCAGACAGAGGCCTGCCTTTATTACTTGCCTGAGGAATTTTGAATGCACAGCTCTTCCTTTCCAGGGGAATACTCCAGTGCTACAGGGGGACACACGTATCCTGCGCTCTGTTGAAGCTCTTCTGTTAGAAAGTTTAAAGAAATCAGGGAGAGGAGGTCAGATAATTGTTTCAATGAGCAACTGAAATAACAAATTAAACAGAGTGCTGGAGCTGGGGCTGCTCACAAACACCTGCCTGCTCAGCTGGAGTCTCCGGTCACTCGTTTCCCCCTGGCAGTCTGAGCAGGCTCTCAATTCTTCCCCGCGCTGTGGAGCCCCATCAAACGGAGAGGTGGAGAATGCCGCCTTGCCAGCTCACGCATTACAGCAGATTGTCTGTTTGATGACATCTCTCCTCTTCCAAAAAACAACTCTAAACAAATAAGGCATAGTATTTGTCTGGGACAGCTTCTGCGAACAGTAAAATGCTCAAATAAAAACACTAGGTAGGGAAGTCTGGCCAGATGAGGAGGCTCTTCCTCTCCTCGGCATTTCTATATACATGAACAGCTGTTCTCACAGAATCTTGACATGCTAAACACAAAGTATTTAACTATCTGTTACTCTATTTTAGTAACTGAATGCCACTGTAGCAATCACAGAGTCTTCCTTTTATCCTGTAAATTTTTTATTAGGGACCTCCTAATCTCTAAATATTTAAAGCTTTATTTGTTTCACACATTGAATTAATTGACTATTAATACAAAACCTCCCACAAAGAAGCGACAGATATACCACCTCAAGCTGTGATTTCTTTGCTTCTCACAGCCTAAGGCCTCGATTCTGCAATTACGCACATTTATCTGTGCTACGGTGAAGGATCCCAACGGGACGACTCACTCTAGTGAAGTTAATCACATTTGTGAAGATCTGAGTCCCATAGTTTTGGCTTGGGACTGTATTTGGATGAGACATCTTCAGGGAACCAAGATCTGAAGAAAGTAGCACCAGCAGTGCAGTGTTTGATGCTTCTTAAGAATAACGTTAGCACGATAAACCTGAAGGCGACAGTGTTTTTGTGCTTGAAACTGCGACTGAGGAATCACCCTGTCAGCTCACGCCTACAGCCCTGCCACCAGCTTCCTCTTGACCTACACAAAAAAAAAACCCAACTACTGCAGACCTGGTTGCCTCCGTCTGTAAAATCAGGTGAATGACATGCGTATACAGCACAAAAGCACAGGGATGGATAATTTTTAAATGTCTCCAAAGTGATTTTTAGATCTTTATACGGACTCCTGTGGAAAGGAAGTGATTATAAACTGTTTAATATCAATGAACCAAAGCCCCGTGAGAAGCTATAAAACCAAAATCTGGATACCCATCAGTGCTTCCTTAATTAATCCCACTGTCCTAGCAAGCTTAGTGAATTACATTTCCTAATTAATTAATTAAAAGAATCAAGCATCCCAGTGCATTATTTAAGAAATTAACTGTACAGCAAATTTTATCTTGACCATACTGTGCTCTCATGAGTCAGTATACTTGCGCTTTCATGTCTTTAAATTTCATCAGACTCCTTTTGTAGCACAGAAGATAACGGCAATATCTACTTTTATGCTACCCATTAGCCACACTCCTTCCCCGCTGCTTTGGCAAGAGAAGTTCTCAGGCCACCCAGCGGGTTCGGGGCACTCTCACTCTCTGCAGGAAGGGTGGATTGTCCCTCACCTGCAGCGCCCGGGTGCCAAACAGAATCACAGAATTATCTAGGTTGGAAAGGACCTTGGAGATCATCTAGTCCAACTGTTCACCTAGCATATCCTTAAGCTCTAAATCGACCTGTTTAACACCTCCAGGGATGGGGACTCCACCACCTCGCCGGACAGCCCACACCAACGCCCAACAACCCGTTCTGTAAAGAAATGCTTCCTGACATCTAGTCTAAACTTTCCCTGGCGCAGCTTGAGGCCATTCCCTCTTTGTCCTGTCGCTTACTACGAGGCTAAAGAGGCTCAAACCCACGGGAGCGCTGCTGAAACCCACCCTGTGCTGTCTCCGACCCATTTCGAAGCGAAGCCCTGGTTTCTTAGACGGCCGAAATCAGCCCCGCTGTACCACCAGCCCCCAGGGGCGCCATCCCCTGTGGCAGCTCGCCTGATACCGCCCC